TATATATACACATACACACACACACATATATTTTTATTATTATTCATTATAATTTAAGGTAAAATTATTTAATTATTTAAAATGAACACATATGTATAAGGAAAATATGTCTTTCCTTTTACTTTGTGGTTTTAAACCAAATTTTTTAAAAGTGGACATTCTTATCACCTTTATAAGTCATTGACCCAAGCATATCTGATCACTTGCCTCAATTATAAAAAAAATACAAAAAAAATAATAATCTTGGGACAATTTCACAGCACAACGACATTTGTTTCCTAAAAAAAATTATTCAAAAAATTTTTTTGATTATTTGTGGTATGATCCCTTTAAATAAAACATTTGTCGCATTATGTCACACAATGCAGTTCTATTCATAACTGTCCACTGGAAATAAATCATAACTGGCCATAGACAGTGTGTCCGCCTGCCAACAGCAAACACAGACATCATCTCCCAGTCTAATTTCATGTCATTCTTCAGTTGAGAGAGGCACTCGTGGTGTTATCTTTGAAGACACAAAGTGCCCTCTTGCCCTTGAGACATTGTTAAGCCACACTGAGCGGGATAAAAGTGGAGGGAACGCTAAAGGTAGCGACCACGGAGCTCTTCAAAGACGAGTCGGAGAGCTTTTAATGCCAGACAGCGAATCTGTCACCAGCAACCACAGGCTGATCTGAGAGCAGTTTTTCATATTCTGACACATGAAAGGCAAGACAATGAGGTCTATTTTTTGTCCATTTATAATTGTCAGCTTTACGCAACAAAATCGACGAGTCGCCCGGAGACACCGCAGAAAGAAGAGCAATTACGGTCATCAGCAAAGCGAGAAAAAGCCCTGAACTCAAGAGGGTCAAAGTACAAAGTGCCAGCGAAAAGATTACGAACATTTGCACGGAAAATAGCTATACAAATTGGAGCAATCTGTGCCTGACTGTAAAAAAAAAAAAGCCAAATATCGCTATATTTTGCTCTTTTTGCCAAATGCTCTTTGCGGTGCTGCGGAGAGGCTGTTTCTCTCTTGATGGCTCTTGTAGTGATTATGTCAAATTACCTAGCTGGAAACGATGAGTCTTGAATAAACAGCACTTTCTGCGGCTGATGGGATGTGATTTCAAAAGCAGCTGAAGTTAAAAGGAGTTGACATGACAAGCTTTTGTCAAGGGTGTCATATAATATACGTTTAAAAACATCAAGTGGTCTTAAATGATGATTTAGTCATCGTTACATGGTAACACAAGCATTTCGTTTTTATTTGGCAATGTCGGTCAATACAATAAAAAAAATTATCTGTTCAAATAAAAATTTAAAAGAAAAAACAGAAATGTTTTAATAGCATCTCTGATTTAAAGTTTAATAGTATAAAACATTAACAGTTTGATCAATTTCCATGAATCAGTTCAAACTGTCTATTAATCGATTCAAAACTCATTGATTCAATGATTAATTTTGCCTCGCTACTCAAAAAAAACATTCACTGAAGTGACATTTAGTGAAGCATAGCTAAATATTGCCCTTTCTTACTACTATTTTATAATGGTACATAATTGAAGATCATTAAATATCATTCCTAACTGTGTTCATTTATCCAAATTCATCAATGAGAGGAAAACATGCTGCTTGGTGCAGAGTTGTTACTGCTTTTCTAGGTTTCTATTACTTATTTTGCCTGGCTAGTGATAAAAAGTGAAAAAACACTTACAAAATCCTAGCCTCATGATGGCAAGTTCTGCCTTAAGATAGAACAACTCTCATTTACTTCAGAAAACAGCTGTCTTTCTGTGAACACATCTTGTTTTCTTAATTTTTTTAATTTTTTAATTGCGACTGTCACATGTATTTATTGTAATAATAAAAAACTGATGCTGATGATGCTGCCTAAACAAGCAAAAAGACTGCAAACGGCTAAATAGCAGAGGAATGCAGGGTGAACTTGTGCCCTATAAGTTTAATTCCAGAAAGCCTCTGATAAAAGACTCTTTTAATAGTGCAAAAAAGAAAAGAGTTAATCACTTCACAGACATTCTTTTAGGATGATACGCAGTTACCAGTTACTACTGGAGTTTGGCTCAGTGGGAATCTAAACTCAGACACACCTCCTCTCTCTGGTAAAAAGAGAGCGTTTTTTTTCTGTCTCTAAGCCTCATCCAATGCTCTTTATTTTTCCCTCTTTGTTTCTGAAGCTTGCATGGTCCCTGAGTTTCTGCAGAAACAGTCAGCGCAAAAAAAA